TCACACACACACACACACACACACACACACACACACACACATAATACGAGCTTCAATGTTGTCACAACATCCTTACAGCAAAAACCGTAGAGAAAAAAGGGCATTGTTGTTTCATCCTATAGCTGATTTACTTCACTCTCGGTCAAAGGATTGTGTTCAAACGGTATGTTTGAGCCGTCTTCGTCTTCTTTTTCCTTGTGCTTTTTAGCCAAAGCTAGTAACCGACGCACACACACTGACAGGTCATGATAATGACGATAATACAATTTGCATCATTTAAGAAGACTGGCTGTTTTCATAGAGCTCATTGTTGCTTTCTGCGAAAAATCACCAGGGCAGACAAAACAAGACAGTTGATAAAACATATTACCCAATATAAAGTCTCTCGTGTTTCTGTCAGCCAGCGATTTGTTTGATGTTCAATATTTTACACCCGCACCGTAATAATGGTCAACCCCAATGCGAGTCCACACTAGGCACTTTTGAACTTTGTGATTTTTATAAACCTGTGACAGTGAACCATAGATAAAAAAGAAACGAGGATGAAACTGATATATATACAGCAAAGAAAGTTTCATAATTATTTTTTTTTATCTTCCTCAGCATGTTACCTAGCCCCAGCAGGTCTAGTGTATGCCACGTCCTTTGGTTTCGCTTTCCAACAGGCTCTAAATAAGCAACACGATATCCTCAATCAGCTCGCCAAGGAGATCGGCAAAATTGACCACATCGCCACCTTTGCGGCCAAATTGACCACAGTCGGGATTGTTGATCGTCTCAATATCATTAAGGTATTATGTCTTTATTTACGGAAAAGTTAACGGAATTTACTATACTGAATTTACTGTTAAATTTTAAACAAGCAAACAATTGTTAAAAATTTCGTTAATACGTATATTTACGCTTCACAACGTAAATTCACCACAAAAGCACAAGCAGTAAGCAATGGATTTCAGGCCTTTCCCCAATAAGACAAGGACTGTGGATGAGGGCCAGGAAAATCTTTTTAGCTAAATAAAAATGCTCTCTTAAGGATTCCTCCAGGATACCTGTGTAATAAATGTACGTTCACCTGAGCAACAGGGGTATAAAAATAACAGTGTTTGTCTATTATACATGTGCTGGCTTCTTTCATTGATACTAAAAACAGTGAAAGGTGCTTTAGGTTTCATCGACTGCTTACCTTGAATCTTCTTTTTTATATGATGCAATCCTCACTCAATGAATATAGGCAACTCCTTTTGGCAAGAGACCAAATTAAATATAAAGGAGTTATTTAAATGATATTGTGTTCTTGCTTATATCGCTTTTAAATCTAAACTACGTATTGTGTCTTTGGAGATGAGCTACTGGAACTTACTTTTCTCGCATTTTTCAGGCTGTCAAAGACGAGACGATATTCATGGTGTTACAGATCTTAGAAAGAGAACCGCATACGTTCCACCATACTTCGCCCAAAGACGTGAGAGGTGAATGTTTATCGCTTTCTGTTACGTTTCTTCTTAAACATCCCTTGTTATGAATGAATAAATGAATGAATGAATGAATGAATGAATGAATGAATGAATGAATGAATGAGCCCCGGAATTACCTTTCAGTGCTTTGAAAGTACGAAATCTATCTATAACAGAACGGCTATCCTGACTATTAAATGAACCAGGTTTGATAGGTGAATGGGATCGACTGACATTGCAGTTCCTTAATCTATGGTATCCGTTGCGTACAGTGAAACTATCTTTAGAAACATAGAAGGATGTCCAGTTTTCAAAGTAAATGGAGAAAATATTAATAACATCAGGTATGCAGATGACACAGTTTGAATAGCAGGCTCAGAAAAGGACCTTCAATTGCTTCTAGATACTGTTGTAACAGAAAGTGAACGTAAAGGATTAGTGTTGAATGTAAAGAAAACAGAACGCATGTTGATATCCAAAAAAGCAGCAAATCCTAGTTG